TGATAGAGATACAACCAGGGGAATGGCTTTAAACTGAAAGAGGGTGGGTTTAGTTTAGATGTTATGAATTTTTTCTTTTTACTCAGAGAGAGTGGTGAGGCACTGGAACAGGCTGTCCAGAGGAGCTGTGGATGCCCCATCCCCGGAAACATTTAAGGCCAGGTGGGATGGAATCTGAGCAGCCAGATAGAGTGGGTGGCAACCCTGCCTGTGGCAGTGGGATTGGAACTGCATGAACTTTAAGGTTCCCTCCAACCTAAGCCATTATATGATGGATGTAGGGGGAGAGAGAGAGAGAGAGAGAGAAAAAAAAAAAAAAAAAAGTTTAATTTTGAAGTCTGGCTAATATATTTTTCCCTAATTACAATATTTTCTCTTTTTACTGATGAGAACTCATAAAAATAATGCTGAAATACATGAAAATAACAATGAAGTATTATGGAAATAAAATGTTTGTACGTACTTTTGCAATATTTCCATTTGTTTGCAAGGTTTGTTTCAACATTCTAATTTAACTGCTTAATTTTTAATGCATTTTGATCAGCCAGTAAATATTGAATATATACATAGTTGAGTGGAGGGGTTTATAGACAATTTTTTTATTAAAGTTTGTCAACAAAATCCTTGAAAATAAAATGAGCTGACAACTATAATTGGAGATGTGTAAAGTACCATTATAGCACATTGCACTATCAATTACGTGTCATGCGTTCTGCCAGATATTAAGTGTTCTGACCTTTGTTATTAGTAATAGAGGCAGACACTGGGTATGTGAGAGACAGTCAGTGTAATGCATGGAAAATCTACTGGAGATGTGATTTTTTTAATGGTTGTAGAGCCTACTTTATCTCCTCTCTCTTCCTGAGCTATAAGTTTATGGAAAACTGGACATTCTGTGTAGTGAAAACACACATTGTGAAGTGCATGCTTTGTTAGAATAATATGTTCTCAAATAATTTATAATGGAAGATCTTATCAGCAAGCTTTACTACATTTATGCATGTATTTCCCATTTTCCTCTGATCCTTAGTAATAATGTGGAAGAAGTGGAATGAAGCAAGACTTTTCTTTACTGTGTTCTCCATGAACTGTATTTTTAAACTGTTGTTTTATGCAGTATTTTCTGTCATCACGTAGAGACTGTGTAGTCAAAAGTTTGGCTAAATCCTAGCTTTGGGTATTTTTAAGCAACCTCTCAGGACAAAAAATTGGTCATATGTAAAAAAAAATAAAAAAATAAAAAAATAAAAACAGTAGAAAGGTCATCTAAGGGACAGTGATAGGCACTTACAACATCAGCGGTTCTACTTGGCAAGGAATGGAAAATGGATAGGGGAAAAGAGAAAGGAAAGGATAAGTGAAAGGGATGGGGACTAGCAACCTCTCAATTGACTTGCAAAGAGCAAAAGAAATAAAAATCATAGGACAGAGAAAACTCCAACCTCAGGAGCCACTGGTTTCCAGCTTCCTTCTCAGTGTTGGACATAGAACCTGTGTTCTATGTCTTTCCAGTAAAATATCTAAGCAATTGGTCCAAGACTTAATGTGGAGTGTACTAGAACTAATTCACATGAAAATCAGTGGGCTGTTGTCATCAGGTTTGAAAGCATGATTGGTCCTAAAAGTATTAAACTGCACTTGTGAAAGACATGTTACTTTCAGACAACATAGAATTACTTAGTATCCTTTTTTTTTTTTTAATTAATTTAAGATTACATTTGGGAATAACAAGCTTGGTGGCAGTAACTGTGATCTCAATTGATGTTACTAAAAAAAAGAAAGAGCTCCTCTAGAGCGCATTTTTCATCTTGTTACTTTTTATCTTGTTACTTATCTTGTCATAAATTATAAGTAGGTTTTGATTTCTGGATTTCCATTGCATTTCAAGGTTTGAAATACTTTTTTAAAGTGTGTCCTACACTAAAAGCCAATTCACATTTTGAAAAAGAGGAAGCAATTTGGGACAGAAAGTAGGGACAGAGTCAGCACATTTTGTGAAATTAGACAAAATTTGGACAAAATAGGAAATGTTGCCAGACAACTGTTCTGTTTACAAAAGCAGTTGCATTCAATTCTTAAAAACTTATAAACTCTTCTTAACAATTCTAAATGATTTAGTGTTTTTACTATATGTAATACTCACTCTGCTATTCAATCAGAATTTAAGATTTACTTTGGTGTTCATGGCAACAATAAATTTTGACTGTAGTACAAAAATCAAATCATTCTACAAGCTACGTACAGTTATGTTCTTCTAAGCAGTTTGACACAGACTAATTTGCCTCAATTCAAAAATACATGCCTTTTGTAGTCTTATGGTGAATATACCAAGAAGAGATCACAGATTTGGCATAATGTATGTATGCGTATGTGTGTATATATTTCTTTTTCAGGAATATCTGTATGTGTATGTATATATATGTATATGTGCACACACACGTGTGCGTAATATATATATATATATATATATAAAACAATATACATATGGTTGACTTCCTCAGCAGAGAGGGATTTCATAAGCACAAATTATTTCAATCACGTATAATCTCTCTTCTGCTCTATACAATGGCTTCAACCAAGTCATTCTAAACTTTAGTACTTATTTTTCTGCTGATCTAGGCCTGTAACTCGAATAACTAAAACAGCAGTAGCCAACATTTTGTCTACAGATGACTTCACAGTTTTTAGGAAGTCATCGGAAGGTGTTAGGTACTAGTTCCCTTTCCTATTCTATGTCAGCCATCCATCTGCTGGATGTAGCTATTAGATGCTAGATGAGCAAACAGTCTCCCTCTCTGCACCCTTTATGTAATGGACTGGCATCCAGCTTTGTGACTGGATATACAAGGAGCCTCCTAGCTGTGACCGCCTGTGTGACATATTCCCATCATTTTTCATTTCCTACACTGTTTCACCAGTATACTTCCACTCAAGAGCTCTTAGGAAACAGCCTGGCAGGAGTGAGGCTACTCAAACCATTCTCTTTTCACATCTTGAGAGAGATGATAGCAGGCAGACAGTGGCTGAAGTAGTTGTTTGTTCAGCAGGGAGGTTTGCCTGTGACCCGCTTGTTGAGAACTTATGTTGCGTCATGCAAAGAGAGCAGGAGTGATGGATATACAAGATGTTCTGGAGTGCCAACAATGTTCAAGATCCTGCTTACTGCATGTCTTGGATCAGAGATGACTCCTTCCAGGGAGGCCAAGGAAAGGAATAAAGTCCTGAATGTATATTTCTGAGACTGAGACCTTGACTGAAAATCTCGGAGGACAAAGTGGCTTGTCATAACACTGTGGGTAGGCTTGAGTGAAAACTTCTTTTCTAACCCACGCCACTTTGACCTGTAAAATGAGTTTGGAATCTGCATTTTCTCTTGTGTCTGTACTTATGAGAATGAGTTCTCTGAGTCTGTCTTACCAAGGCATTTCTCCTGGATTTGGTACTTGGAAAGGAAGTGCATGCTACCCTGAACCATTTTTTACTCTTCTTGATGTTTATGAGGCAAGGAACAGTTTTGGTTTGGATGGGCTAGTTCAGAACTAGTTACTTTACTCGGGTGCATTTATTTGATAGCTTATGAAAGTAATTGGGTGTTTAATCATTGATTTTCTTAATAGTGGACTTTGATAAAGAATCTTCAACTTGAAATTCTCTAGTTTCATATTTCTGGTCTTGCACGTACATTTTATTTAAACTGTGTTTCTTGTGTCAACAAAGCAATAGTTTTCTAGTATATACGTAAGGTCAGTTAGCAGCTGGACTTTCATAGAGCGTACCTCTATATTTCATGTCTCATACTGCCATCTAAGGGCCACAAAGGCTGAGAAGGTGGCTAAAGCTTCTTTAACATTTTCTGCTTAGCGCTCTTCTCTTTGGGAAGTCAACAATTCATAGGTGAAAGGATGGGCAAGGAATCATGCAATCACAGCAGACTCTTGGTGCTAAGTATTGTTTCAGCTGAGGGCACAGATAAATCTTCTAGGAATCTGGACTAAATGAAAAATCAGAATGTAAATCTGATTTGTAGTCTTTTAGGAAAATGTTATTGCAATGAGTCTGTGTAAAAGTGAGTAAATAAGAAAGTGAAATTCATTGGATTTTAGACTCCTCTTCAAATAACGTTAACAAGCATAATGCTTGTACGATCATAGAATGGTTTGGGTTGGAAGAGACCTTAAGGACTATGTAGTTCCAACCACTCTGCCAAGGGCAGGGGCATCTTGCACTTGATAGGTCAGGTTGCTCAAAGCCCCATCCAGCTGACACTCAATACCTTTAGGGATGGGGCATCCACAACTTTTCTACGCGGTCTATTCCAGTGCCTCACCACTCTTAATGTGAAGAATTTCTTCCTGATGTCTAGCCTAAACCTACCGTCTTTTAGTTTAAAGCTTGTCCTTAGTCCTGAAGAATTTCAGCTGAAACTCTTAACAGTGCAGGAGTGTGCAGTTCAGAATCTCTAAGGTCCCAAAGTCCTTGATACATAATAATGTAAAGATTAGTATGTATAATGAGAAATTATTCACCATGGTTATCCTTAAAATGATACAAAATCAGATGAACTATTTTTTTCCTAACTTTGCTTTCATCCTTTTTGTATTTTTGAGTGTTTCCGTTTTTTGAGACTTTTGGGAAATTGTCAAGATTGATGTTAAATATTAAATAGCATGAGTTTAAGCATTAAAAATTTTATCAGGAAAACTTCTGTTTCCAGGAAAAAAGAATGCTCTTTTATTTGTTTTTAATCTGAAAACTGTACTTCTATAGGCTTAATTCCACAGCTCCTTTCTCACACAGATGTTTTAAACTACAGGTATGATAAGGTTTCAGTATTTGCTTATAGAGTGCTGTGTTGACATTGACAGACTGAAGTAGTAGTTGTAATGAGGACCCCTTTGAGCAAAACTCTATTTTACAGTATATGAGTTGTTTTTCAGGCTAGTTTCCAGCAAACCTTGTGTAATAGAGAAAGTAATTAATCTTGCATGTTACTTTGACAGGCTCATGCAAGCAAAGACCTGGAAGAGCAGTTGCGATCTGTGTCCAGTGTGGATGAACTCATGACAGTACTTTACCCAGAATACTGGAAAATGTTCAAATGTCAGTTGAGGAAAGGAGGTTGGCAACACAACAGGGAACACTCCAGCTCTGACACAAGATCAGATGATTCATTGAAATTTGCTGCAGCACATTATAATGCAGAGATCCTGAAAAGTAAGTGCAAGATATAAAATAGGTTGTAATATGCAATAAATTAAAATCCAAAGGCATGTCAGTTATGTCAACGATATGTCAAAGCTAATCATCATCAATAAACTACCCTCAAACACAATACTTTTCCAGAGAAGTACTTTTGGTACTTCATTCCCAGTAAGGTATAGATTGCTTTATCAGCTCAGTAAACATTTTTGTCTTTAGATATTAGAAATCCTAATTTGTAGAGGCTGTAAGGATTTTGGAAAAAGCAAAGGGAGCACTAACAGTTCAATTCAGTGAAATGATTTTGTTCACTTTCTGCAAAATCGTTGCTGATAACATTTTCTTCTCTGACACGTTATCGGTTAGGAGATGAAATAATTCACTTGTAATAAATACTTCTATAGCCCCTTGATATTTCACATGGCCTGATTAAAAATATAATTAGCTCACAATTGAGAGAAGAAGGGAACACAGGATTTATAGCAATCGTTTTTGACTTGATATTGGAAATCATGGACCTTTGCAGAGCCCGTTTTCTGTGAATTACCTACCAACAACTGGCTCCATGAGAGAATAAAGGAACTGTACAACTGCAATTTTCATGGCTATTTAGCATAAGATTATATTTGGCAAAGACTGTATAACAGTATATGAAATGTTTGCCTAAATTTGCATTGATAATCTGGGCATAAATATCGCCTTTCAGCTTAACTCATGTTAATTTATAGAGATGTGCAATACTTCCCTAGAGTTCATTCAAGGTGGGACTCACCCGAAGCAAAAAAGAAAGGACAAGTATCAGCTTTAGCTGTGGTTTCTGTGTATCTGGCCAACTTTGTTAGGTTCCCTCTGAGCATCACTGTGACTTTGCATCTCCTCCATGGCACATTCCTGTGAAGAAGAAATTAGCTCAAAGTTCACGCTGAACAACATGCATTTCATCAACTAAAGGATAGACTTTTGCAACACATATTCTGATTCTAAGCATGAAAAACCTCCTATTGATTTACTGTAAGAGAGTATTGTTTTTAAACAGCTGCTTTATAACATACAAAATTCCCTGTAACTTGGCAGGTATTGATACTGAATGGAGAAAAACTCAGTGCATGCCACGTGAAGTGTGTGTGGATGTGGGGAAAGAGTTTGGAGCAACTACAAACACCTTCTTTAAACCCCCGTGTGTATCCATCTACAGATGTGGAGGTTGCTGCAATAGTGAAGGACTCCAGTGTATGAATATCAGCACAAATTACATCAGCAAGACAGTAAGTTCTCATTCTTACTATAGTCCACGTGCACCTTGCAAATCCATTTATGATCTTGCATATTTACTTCCCTCTTATTGCCACTATGAGGAAAGTCAATAAATAAATGCCAGAATACTTAGGAAAAACAGCTGGAAAAACTACTGACTGAAAAAAAAAACCCAAAAACTTAACACTCTCTTTCACCAAGTATGCTTTGTTTAAAAATAAATAAAATTATTATGTCCAATTCTCATTTATGAGATTATCCATGGAAGTTAATTCTGTCCTTTTTTTATTCTTTTTCTTTCTTTTGTTTTGAGTTTACTATTTGCCTGCTATGTGAGGCACGTAATGTCTGGAAAACTAGCCTGCAGTTTTGTTAGTGAAGAGTGTATTAGGACATGTGCAGACAGGATTCACGTTGCAGAGAGAGCCTTTTTAGAGCCAAACTTTGCTATATATTATGAGATATTAGTGTAATGTAGCTTTCTGTTGTGTTCTCATTTAACTTCCTTGGACTAGATCAGGGCTAGTGAGCAGGTAGGAATGTGGGGATTATGCACTAAACTTCTGTTAAAGGAAAGGCATCATCTTAAGTCATGTAAAAATAAGCACAATGTTTGTGAGACTATTTTGCTCTTGTTACAATATTCAGTAGGATTTTGTGGTGGTTGAGAGTTTCTTCCTCTTCTGATTTTTTTGTTTTGTTTTGTTTAAGAAAGCTCATTTATTGTAAATCTTGCTTCATTTTCCAACTAGATACTTAAAGCTGAATATCGTAGTATGTATTTATAAAACATATATACAACTGTATGGACAACTACTAAGTTGGAAATGTCACGTCCCTATCATGCAAATTCTTAGTGCTCTGAACCTTCTTGAAAGGGGACCAAAAAAAGAAAATTACAGGAAGAAAATATTATTCATTTTAAATAAATCTTCTATATTCACTTCTCACCAAACCTGAAATGCTCTATTTCAGCATTTAAAAATTTTTAAATCCCAAGTATGAGCTAGGGCAAAAGTGCCACATAGCACAGGGAGAATGCAACTCCAAATGGCTTGAACAAGGAAACTTATAACACTGATAACTTTCAGCTCCATAGTTATTTCCCCTACTGCTGTCCTAATTCTAGTTGCTTGAAAGATGCAAATATATTTTTTCATGTTAAGAACAAACAAATATGACCTTTTGTTATTATTCAGTTTATAGAATGTTTAGCTTACTGCAAGAAAGGATGATTTAGTTAGAGAAAGTTGTTAAATTTAGCAAAGGTTTTCTGGTCTTGGAGTATAGTGTAAGTTTTTGGGTAAATAATCCTTTTCTATTCATCTTTCTTTTCATATCTTTTGAGTGAAGTCATTAGTCATTTTGTTGCCTAGAGTAAAATGTTTAGACTAGTACTGAGTTTCTTTTTTTAAGTTCTTGATGTCATTGATAATACAGAAGTAATTAAAGTATTGAAAGACTCTGTAAAGGAAAATGTTACAGGACTTATCAGAAGAAAGAGGCAATGGTATTTTGTTTTCTTGTCTATTCTGCAAAATAATAATAATCTCTGCGTTTTCTATCTTCTGTTTTCCAGTTTTTTATTTGATTCTTGATAGAATGAATTTAAACAAACAAACAAAACCAACAGCCTTATAAAGGAAGAGAGGTATAGCTATATCTCTTCACCTGTTGTCATCTCAAATTTATTAAAGTTATATGACCACAGACACTGGGTACTATGTCAGATGAGCATTAGGAAGAAAAAAGTACTGGATTCAAGGCTCTTCTATGGAATTCAAGTGCCCTGCACACCTATTTTCACTACTATTTCCTTCTGTTTCCTGAATGAAAGAAGAACAAATGTTTAGTAGCCAGGCATTTTCCGTTTATTCATAAGTCACCATTTTTGTACCCTTATTTTTGGTGTGTAAATTCCTCAAGACAAGCCTCACACTGTTCACCCTGCTGAAAAATAATTTAGTTTGAAGCAAACTTTTCAGCTGGAGGTCTTATTGTGAAGGCAAACCGTAGCATTGGTTCCAGACATTAAAATCTAAATAAAGTTAATATCAGCTTTCATCAGAATTAGTCATAAAGAAAAGAGTTCAGTATGGAAAATACTTTTATGGAGAGCAAATGGTTGATTGGCAGGAAAATGGACTAGATCAGATGTTCCCAGATTGGCTTGTGAAACACTGTGGTAGTCCAGAGAGAGGTCAACAGTTCTTTAGATCTGGCACTAGTTCTAATGTTTCTCCTTTCTAGCTACTTAGCTTTATTAGGAGAAAAAATAGAAAAATATTCAGCTTTGTTTTAATACCGATTGTTTCAACAAAATCTGTGGGTTTTTTAGTTGCTAAGGAGAGTTTATACAATCTTGACTGGGTTTTGAAACAATTTCTTAAATAAGATGTGGTACAAGATCTATGACAACATTTGAGGATCACCCTAGTCAAATTTGAAAATGAAGTAGATCTTTTTCCTTTGTCCATGACACTGCAACAGCACAGGTTAGCACAGGTTTGTTGTATGTCTTGACTTGTCTAATAAAGATCTGTGGGGAAGGTGGTTGGATGAGTCATTTTGAGGTTTTAATTGTTTTTTCTAAATTGTTATTGATCATATATTCATTCTGTTTTTACATGGCAAGTGGTTAATTCAACAATTACAAAGATCGGAACTACCTGGTGCAAAGGCAGCCTGTCCCTCAGCTGTACATTTAGTATGCCCCACCTATAAGTTCTTTGTTTGTGGAGTAAAGGGAAGCAATGAGCAGATGTCAAAAAGCCATCTCATTCCATTCTTCTTGGCTGGCAAAATGGAAGTTTTTTGGCTTCTTGCAGATAATGTCATGTAAAGGTCCTAAATCGTCTTTTTTCATGGCTAGAGTAATAGTTCCACAAGGGAAAACGTCTTTCCAAAGAGTTTGAAATGAGATTTAGAGGAGCTTTTCTCACAGGAAGCAAGCTAGCAGCTTGAAATTGTTTGCCATGTTTGAAATGTACATAGCGTTCCTTTATACAACTTGGAGATGTATGTAACACAAGAATTTTCAGTTGGTTTTGAACTTTACCATTTATGTCTTTTCCCATGCATTTTTCTATGTTAGACTAATATCATAATGATAGAGTAACTACTATTAATAGTGGAAGATAGATTGATATCAATCTGTAATGTTTTCTGTTAAAATTTCTTGAAAAAAATCTGAACTGATTCAAATACAAGAAGGTAGAATAAGGGGTGATAGCACATTAACATAAATGAAATATAGGATTTTAGATAAGCTACCTGATATCAGACATAAGGTTTGAAATACAGTTGTTGGTACTTTTTTTTTTTCCAAAGAAGATAGTAAAATATATAATGATAATACAAGATTTTTTCATGTAACCTATTTTCATTCTTTCCAGTATAGTAATGTTTAGTGTTTTAAAATTAAACAGCCCTATATCCTTAGCTTGAAAATCTCTTTAGACACATTGTGCTTTCTTAGGCAGGCTATGTTTGGCTGGCCTTACTGATGCTTTCGGAAATGCAAAGATTACAAGTGATGGAAACTGAGGGTCAATCAATTTAAGAGAAATCTGCCAAAACAAACCACAGCCCATCAGAAAACATAATGTAGTTAATGTAAATCTGGGAAAAATGTAGTACCTCTCCTACAGAGAAAGGGTGGGGTAGCTGGGGGTGTTCAGCCCAGAGAAGAGAACGCTCTGGGGAGACTTCATTGAAGCTTTCCAGTACTTGAAGGGAGCTTACAAACAGGAGGGAGAATGACTTCTTTTATGGTCTGATAGTGATAGGACCAAGGGGAAAGGCTTTAATCTAAAAGTAGGGAAGTTTAGGTTGGATGTGGAGGAAATTTTTTACTCAGTGTGTGGTGAAGCACAGGAACAGGACACCCAACAGAAGCTGTAAGAGCCCCATCTTTGGAGGTGTTCAAGGCCAGGTTGGATGGGGCCATTCTGAGTTCTAATTTGCCCCACCCTTATTTCTTTAACTCCAGCTCTGTAAATGAGTGAAGGAAGAAATCCGCTGGTGTGGGAGCTGGAAGCAGCCAGCCACATGGCAGTATGTGTAGGACACAGTTCTAGCCAGGAAGATCTTGCAAGAGTAGCTGAAGGAGCACCCTTCAGGTTGGCATGGAGAGTGAGTGTCGCACTTGGCATCATGTTAATTGCAGATTGTGGAGTGCTAAAGGTCAAGATGGCTTGGATGGAACAAGTCAGAGCTACCTTTGCCTTGTCTCCTCTGGCTGTTTCTCACCTAAGAAGTACAGCGTAGAGCATGTGTTTCTTGATCTCTGAGGATTTAAAAACTAATATAAAAGAATTAAAGTTCAGGGAAAAAAATGGGTTTTAATAACATTCATGCTTCTAGAAGGGATCTAATTATTCTCTTACCTCTGTGTTAGTCTGAAAAGTTGTGTAATTGCATACCTCTTTGTACCAAGAGGCAGAAAATACCAGCAGGAGAAGATGACATTGAGGTCTGTAGGATATGCTGCCTTTTAGTTTTGGCTGGTGCAGTGGTATGAAGGTTAAGTATTAATTAAGCCAAAAATACACCTGATTACAGGCTGTGTTTGAGGCAGAGAAATTACAGGTCTCCTCAACTCCTCTGAACAACAACAAAAATAAAATCAGACTTTTCAAGCCTTTTAAAGTACAAATTGTGTTTGTATTTCAGTGTTGTGCCTTGCAAACTGTATGCATTTTAATATCGTACATATTCTAAAATGAAGATATGAGTTGAAGAAGAATAGGTGTCTTTTGCTGACATTGAAGGGTTTATGAAATAGACTGGATAGTGAAATATCTGCTTGATTTTTTTTTTCTAAAAATCAGTACTGTGGAGAATAAAAAGTGATTAAATAAAGCCAGAGCTTTATAAAAATATCTATGCTCTACAACAATAGACCCTAACTCTGTAGTCCAAATATATAGATATATATATATAAAAAAAAGAACCTTTCTTCATTTCTGAAGATGAGCATTTCAGTTTTGGCCAGGTTGAAAGATTTATGGTGGGATAAATATATTCAAAGTATTACCTGTAGATTTGTGATGTGTATGCTCATTTATGATACAGGTTTTCATTTTCTCTTTCTGTTCCTCTTCTTCATTTTTTGTTGTACTCAGAAAAAATTGGACAGAAAATTACTCTTGTAAAGTGATCTTTAGATTCTATGTTTTTATTAGTACAAAATGATAGCTGTAAAAGTCAGAAAGGCAATAGAAATTGGCATTAATATAGTACATAAACATTTTACTTTCTTATAAATTTAATTTAGTGATAACTAAAATACTAAAATGTCTTTTAGTCACCACTAGTGAATTCAGCTGACTTCATTTTTGTAGTCAAAATTTAAAGATTCCTCTTTGTTTTAAAATGTCAAGATTTCTCAATCTGAGCTATCGAGTTTTTTGGTTCAAGAAGCTGTAAATATAGTAATCTTTAGTTATCATTATGTGTTACTGTGGTGGTTGTTTTCCGTTTGTTTTCTGACCTTAATGCAGTGTTGTTAGCACACATGTACAGAACAGTATGGGCAAGTTGAGCCTATTAGGATCATTTCATATACTTTAATCTGCTGTTTCATATACTATAATTATTATTTTTCTCAAAACTGTGAGCAATAAAAACTCTCCACATTGAAATAACCTGACCTAATACCTACTACTATTAGATCTCTTGTTCTTTTGGAAATAGAATCTCACTGTTTGCAGTCTTTCATTCTGAATGTCCGTCTTTATTAATGGCTCCCTAAGAACAGACCTGGTAGAAATGTCTTTCACCTTATTGCCTGTAGCATGAATTAGTCCAATTTTTTATTTGAAGCTGAGAAGGAGAGGAAGATATGGGCCTTTGAGCATTCAGGTAAAATCAGTCCTTTACTGAATGGGGGCATCAGACCAAAACATCGGAGAACTACTCTCCAGGAGGAGGTACCCACAGGGACAGTAGACAAGCAGTGATAGTGCTAGAAAAGAAGGCAGGCTAAACTGGCTTCATACACAGATGTTATGGTGCCTTTCTCAAAGTTCTTTCTAGATCTTGATATTGGGGGGTTAGATGTTACCAAATATGTCCTGTAGTGACAAAAGATATTGAAATTACTGTTCTGAAGAAGAATAGCAAGAAATAAATTAGAGATGCTGACAAAACCAGAAAGTATCACAGAAGGTCAGATCTTACCTAACCTGAAATGATTTCTTGAGATGGTGATTCAAACCCAACTTATGGATATTCACTTTGACTTAAACAGCTCTGTTGGATTTAGAGATGATGCTTGCACAGCTCAGACCAGAACATTGGTTATTTTTCAGTATGAATGTGATTTCAAAATACCAAAGATTATTTAAGCAGAATTATTCTGTGTATATAATGCATTTTCTTAACAGTCTGCTTTTCAATGATGTTTTTCTTGTGAAATCCCTTCTTGATATTTATCTTTCTCGTTAGATAAAGAAAACGTATCTCCATTCTTCAGTATGCATCAGAATATAGTCTCCTAGTAGTATATGCAGACACACTAGAAGGAGAAGGAAGAACAAGTCAACAAATCCAACTCCATTTTTTTTACTTCTGTCATTTCCACTGAGGAAAAACAGATCTGGTTCTATTGTTTTCAGAAATGCTAGCCTGTGTATCATCTTCAGCAATTTCCAGAAATGAGGACCAGAAGAATGATACAAGAAGTATAATAATATAATCTCTAAGATAAATAGTTGTCCTTGTTTTATTGACTCTATTTATAAACCGTAGCTTCTAGAGGGTGTTGTAAAATACACTGCTTTTAACAGAATTTAGTAGAAAAAACTGAAAGTGATGAATGAGAATAAGGAAGCCAGTTTACATTTCTGTTACTTAGCGAGGTTTTTTTGTGGTGTACCAATGAATGGTAATACTTGTTAGCAACAGTCATCTCTAAAGTGATACCTTTCTCATTTTTAATAGATGGATAAGTGTAGATGAAAGAATGACAAACATGAATTCACATCTCCAGCTCACGATCTGAAAGTGTTAGAATTTTTAGTGAAATTTACATTAGCGTATTGCTGAAGGCCAACAAGTGCTTAGGGATTGCAACTGGCATCCTACACAGCCCACTCCAGTGGTCTGGAATCTGTTAGTTTTTGCAGCATGGCAAACCAATGTGGTCCAAGAACAGAGGAAGAACAAAGCGTGCCCTTTTATTTCAAATAGCTGTAGATTGTTTCATGCAAATAATCATGCTTCTTTTCAACTATTTTTATTAGTTCTCTCTGTAGTGGGCTTTTACTTCTGCTTTGGAGTAGCAAATTCATAATGTTATGAGAACAGAGAGAGAGAGATGCATACTCATTGTCCTGCACTTTAGTTCACATGAAGAAGAATCAGCTTTTTCCAAGCTAAACAAGCCCAAAAAGTAAAGGATCCAGTATTTGTTTGTAAGCCAAAAATGAGTATAGTAACAACAAAAAGTCAGTAGAAAGTCCCTTTACTGAATTCTCTGTTGAACTTAATAAAAACCCTGGAGGTTTGTCCAATTAAATATCATTATCACAGAGGGAAAAATTGATTTGCCATTCATTTTATTAGTACCAAACTTTAAACTACGCAAATGGACTTATGCCTGTACTCATTAATGATCCAGGATCAAAATTTTAAGAAGGGTATTTTGCAATTGCAGCAGGAATCCAAATGTTAATATTCTTTGAAATGTCTCTCTAAAAAGAGGAATTCTTTCCATGGTAACTCCATAGAAGGGTTGTTTTTCTCTATTGGCACAGTGAGGATGTGGGAAAATGGTGTTTTGTTTGGTTTTCCTTTCTACAGAACCAAAGACACGTTAATTTTCATTTTGAGATGTTGTTGGAAAATTTTTTTTTAACTAATGTAATGGATGTAGTAGTTCTTGCATTAAAGCTAATAGCATTGTAATCCTCTGTAACAGAATATAATGCAAATATTTCTACCAACTCAGTTATTTTATGATGACACTCCCAATTTTAAACTTAAAAAAAAAAATTCAGTTACTAAACACTGCCAGAATTCATTTTGTTAAATAGATATTTGTCATAGTAGACAACGCTTTACAAAGTTTAGGTTTAAGCTGTATAATTTAGGTATGGCAATAATATGATCTTTATATGAGCTGTACGAGCACACTCATACCTTGCGGGTACTTGATGAGTACACACCACACTGCTGCACCTGCATGCCTGTCAGCACCCAGGATCACTTGTGTAATTCTGTGCAAGATTTTGTGTTCAAGATATCACGTAGATGTGCTTTGCTTTTTGAATCATTTAAAATTATTGGTTTTTTTTTTTTCAATTACTTTAGCATGCAGTCTGTCTGCCATAGTATAAAAATTATGGATTGTAAACAAGATTATGACCTAAAAGTATGTCCTAACTTTTCAGTAGAGTATTGAGATTTGAGTCTTGAAGTGAAATCTCTTCAATTTCTTAAATTAGGTGTTCTGAATTAAATCCTGAAATGAGTCTCAAAGTTTTTCTGTTTTTTTAGCAAGATACCATTGAAGTCATCTTTTTTCACTTGTTAAACTGCATTTACCACTAAGTTGGCATTTTATTAATTAGTATACATGAATATTTAAAAACTGATTATTTCTTAATGTCCTGGGAAAATATTCAATATACGTTCCATTAGATGACCATCTAATTTTCATTTATATCAATACCAGAAAGGAAAACTATACTTTATGATGTATGTCAACATTTCTTCATTCAAAAATGTTTATCTAAATCCAACATAGTGCTGTTATAAACAAGCTCTGTAAATTTTGCAACCAATGTATTATGTTGTTGTTTTTCCCTTCTAAAAATTATTCTTGTTTTCCAACTTTCCAATGCATATTCCAAGTACTATGTTTTGAATATTAAAAAGACTGCCAATTTGAAGTTATTTCCTCTAGAAGAATGAGTTCTTCATACGTTTTTCTTAACACCTTTGGTAACTTTGATTTGAATGCAATAGTATGCAAACAGGCGTGTAATAGGAGTTAACATTAAAAATATTAAATTTTATTATTTTATGTAATAATGATTTAGCAGTTCAATTAAATATTTCATTATTATACGAGAGAAGAAAAAAACAAAAATTAAGTTCCTGATGGCTGTGTCTGTATACATATCTCTGTACTATCTTCAGTTGTACTGTTACTAAGCTATAAACAAGTTATTTTATTCTTTTTGCTTTCCCTTCTGTAGTTGTTTGAGATTACAGTGCCTCTCTCTCATGGCCCCAAACCTGTAACTGTCAGTTTTGCCAATCACACGTCCTGCCGATGCATGTCTAAGTTGGATGTCTATAGACAAGTTCATTCTATCATAAGACGTTCCTTGCCAGCAACGCAAACCCAGTAAGTATGAGACTTGTCTTTCCTTTCACATTATAAGAAAGTCTATGTAATTAAATATTGCTGGAAGCTTTCACAGTTAGAATTGGTAAACTTGTATGTATCAGTAGTAGCAAAACACATTTTGCAAAGGAGCTGATGTTGTTTTACAACAAAAGACTGTTACTAAATAATTACTAAATTACTGAAGTAATTAGCTCAGTATCTTTCTGACCAGTGTGCAAACTAGGATAGATCAGTAGGAAATGAAAAGTAATGAGTTGGTTTCTCAATGGAAACAGCTAATGTGAAATTAAAGTTTTAAAGTAAATAACAAAAATCACTTGTAATAGTAATAATAAAGGAAAACTATCCAAAAACAGTTATTTTTACAGTTAAGGAGTAGATGACATTTCATCCTCAAACTGTATTTTCCTTTTAAAACAAAACAGAAACAGCCAAAAAGTCCTACACTTTTAAAAGAAAAATCCTGCCAGAAGTGAAAACAGAACAGAGTGGGAAGAGGAAGTAAAGTGTTAATGAGTAGTCCATTGAACTGACAGATGGATTTGTTCAGTTAGTCATAGGCTTGGTGATCTTGACAGGAGTATTTCAGCACTTGAAGCACTCATTTCCATCATTTTAGGGGACTGAGTGTTTGATTTCATGATGTATAAATATTAAGAAGATGATGTGTAGATACAGTCTAATGGGTCTTTATGGAAGACCAATGAATAAAAGCTGACTGGAATTAATTATATGCATTTTTAATAAGGTGAATGAACAGTTTAAAACAACCAAAGAAATGAACTAGGCCGTCTTCTTTGCATGTTTTCATTCAGTTAAAGTTGGGATGTTCTCTGACGTGTTCAAGCTAAGCATGGATTATATTCTGTTTGAATTCAAATTGTTGAATTGGTTCATCAAAATGTGGATCGTGAATAGTGGATTAGAAGAGCATTAGGGAATAAATCTAATGGTGGTTTAATTAATTGGATAATAAACAGATTATAAAAACTCAAAACCTGAGAGTCAATAATAAAGTTAAATTACTCTGACTGTTGGCAGCTTCTCAGTGCTTCCATGCAAAGAGCAGCTGTAATTATCATGGTAAGGCTTTATTCTACCCAGAAAACAGCTACCTGTTAAAGAGAAGCATGGAGATGCCAGACTTCTGACTGTCCTATAATGCTAGATTAAACAAGGTCTGTATAGGTTTTATTCTTAAGTGCTGTTTTTACTTTCATTTCCAGAATCTTGAAGCAATTAAGATGTTTTTGTTTGTTTGTTTTTAATATGTTTTTTTTAAAGAAGTCATAGCTTTTAAACTAAAAGCAATTGATTGTGTTGCTGATGGGTGTCTGAATGCTTTTCGGAATCCCCCCGTGTATTTTAGTGGAGGTTTTAGCCTCATGTCTACCACTCATGTTACAGGGGCAGGTCTGTATGTGCTCTTTTTAACTGAGATGTGGTGACGATCTCATGAATTATTGAAAAGAAAATCCTACGAATATAAACTTTTTTTTAGGGTTGTAACACTTAGGATCTAGTAATCTGGACTGTGTCATGATCCACATTAGAAGAAAGAGAAAAAATTACTTGTCAGGCAGAATATAACTAGTTAACCTTTTTTTTTTATGAAATATGTTTTCTGCACAACTTGATAGTGTGAATTAAGGCCCATGGCTTTACCTGTTCTTCTACTTTATTCTATTTATTTCCTTTTAATAAGTAAGTGGTAACTACCTCTACATACTTGTACAGCTGAGGCATGTCAGTTCATGCTAACTAGTGTTTCAGAATACCTTCTGGATTAATGGTTTCTTAAGCTGTATCCTTCTCTGCTTATGTAAAATTTCATCAAGATTTGCAACTCAGAAAATTAATGTTTGTTTTAGAAATTTGGTGATTTCACAAGGAGTAGGGCTAGAAGTGAAGCAGGAGAGCAGTGCCTAGTCTTTAATACATGTCATAAAGATTAAATTCTCTTCTTCCATGGTGTGAGTAAAGTAGGTGCTTAGAGAGTTAATGTTCATTTTAGATGTATATTGTAGGTGCTACATATTTCTCTCATGTGTCGGGCAATGACTTAGCATGCTATTTTATGTATGTTGAAAATGTGAAAAGAAGTTTTGAAATTTTTTTGAAAGTTTTGTCTGATTTTTTTTAAGACCTCTTGAACTTTCCTAAAATAAGTAAGTCATTTTAATGTGTCAGCCATATTCTGTAGTAACTTTTTTTCCTAGCAGCCAGAGAAGAACTTGTAAACAAGCAGTTTCGTCCCTTTTGCTGTTGATCTCCAATTCTGATGTTCATCTTCTTGGCTTTCATATGAACATTGCCTTAGTTTAGTTCATCTGTGCATAGTGTTTTCTCACACTGTCACTCTGGTTGCCTTCTTTAGTAAGTTTTAAACATGCTTGGTATGGCCAAGCTGCTCCAGGTGCAAGTTGTTTGTGTATTCAGCTTTTAAACAAAATACCATTATAGGCCTGTAAATTCTCTGTGCCATTTCCCAAGCTGAAACAGGAGACAGGCAAAAGGATATGTGTGCCAAGCAAGGGAGCAAGAGTGATCTCATTAGTGGAGTGAAATCAGGAAACACCAGCTTGATAAAGCATGAGGTGGTGCAGGGTAATGTTAAACTACAGAAAAAGAGCTGTTTAATGTGGTGAAGGGGAGTGGTATCCTTGAATGATAATCATGGAAGAATGTCCTAGCACCTGCATTTTTCAGTGAGTGAGTAATGGTGCTTCTCTCATGGAAAGGAGAAAGTAAGTGCCTAAAATGGGTTGTGTGTGTTGGTTTAACAGATGAGAATTTTAGAAATACTACAGAAATAATTAATAGATTACACAGCCTGGATGCATGAAGTTAGGCATGACTCATTAGAAGTTTTAATGGCAACTGTAGCGATGAAGAAATTATAAGCAAGGAAGATCAGATAATACTTATTCACATATTCCTTGTGTGGTGAACTTACCCATTGAGTTTCATATCCTTTAACAGCTGCTGTTAGGACTTTTTACTGTACTCTAGCAAATACAGAAAACTAAATGTTAAATGGTTTATTTTCTCTCGTGTCTAAAGTGACTTCATTACTGCCAAAGTCCAAATCTTTAGAGTCAAGAAAGATGTCCAAGATTTGAGTGGCTGATGAGGAATAATCAGTTAATGACAACTTTTATGTAAAGAAGGGATGTTAATAATTGGATTACGTTTTAAAGATTGGAGTTTGGTCTACAACACTAATTCAGAAATTACTGTCACTTATCTTATGCCTATATGTAAGAGAACGTTTTTGTACTGCCTAAAGCAATGTAGAAAATTTTGTCTGGTACCACCTATGTGGTATCTCATGTACAAATATCTTTATACTGATCCATTGATACGTAAGGTTTACACCGAAGGGCTAGAAAGCACTCATAGTGGTTTTTAGAAGCCAGAGCTAAAGCTTGAAGAGTGAGACGATATCTTCAGCAAATGGTTAAATGTTTCTGTACTGGGGGAGAACCTTAACTAGTTAGTGATGCGATAGAAAGTAAGATTATGAAAGGTTTTTGTAATGGAGGGAAACAAATGGAAACAGCACCTAAAATCATTTTTTTTGTTGTTATTATGGCAGTAAACCAGCAGTATGTTTTATTCAATAGGTGCCACGTGGCAAACAGGACATGTCCGAAAAATCATGTCTGGAATAATCAAATTTGCAGATGCTTGGCACAGCAAGATTTTGGTTTCTCTTCTCATCTAGGAGATTCTGGTAAGTAGTTTTGCTTAGAGGATTAAATGTGGTTCCATATTTTGATTTGCCTAAAGAAGAACTTACAAACTTATAAGATTTGAGTTTAGTGGTGATTTTTCTTTATTTGTAGCACTAAATGGTCATTGCTGGTCTTTTGCTTTACATTTGTTCCTGAAATACCTCAAAGTATGAATTGGATGTTTTTTTTTTCGTGTAAAAATACAAGAGTAGGAGGACAAAATTCTGATCATTGTGCAACTTCTGTGGTGCGTTCCAGACACATCTGAAGGATTCCATATTTGTGGGCCCAACAAAGATCTGGATGAAGAAACCTGTCAATGCGTCTGCAAAGGAGGTGTGCGGCCCTCAAGCTGTGGCCCTCACAAAGAATTAGACAGGGCATCGTGTCAATGCATGTGCAAAAACAAACTGCTCCCCGCTTCCTGTGGGCCCAACAAAGAATTTGATGAAGAAAAGTGCCAGTGTGTATGTAAAAAGACCTGTCCCAAACATCAGCCGCTAAATCCTGCAAAATGTATCTGCGAATGTATAGAATCTCCCAATAAATGTTTCTTAAAAGGAAAAAGATTTCATCACCAGACATGCAGGTAAAAATTCAGTTTTTTAGCCCTTTTAATGTATCTAAGGTATAAAATTCGTGGTTGCGTTATTAGCTGTTTTATGGAATAGTTTTGTAGCCATAAATTCTAAGCCTCTCAAGTTCGTTTTTATCTTCCATGTCTCTTATTGTCCCAAAAATAAGCTGTTAAACTGATCCCAGGTGTATGTGTGTTACTTACGTAGAGTGAAGCAGCAGAAAGTAATGTTACTCTCTTAGTTACAAAGACCACACTGGTGAAATAATCCAGGATTATTAGCACTGAAAACACTGAACAAGATGTGAGTAGTTAATAAATGCCTTGTTCGCAGCCTTCCTCATTCCTTACTGCTTTCTTCATAGTTCATTGGTTGAACTAACCAGTTTGGAGTAAAGTAACTGTAATCCAGACCTTGTATCAGAAACAAATTATTGCAAATTGGTAAGTTAGTATCCAAACCAGGCATACAGTGTGTTAATTTACCTGCAGGAATGACAAGATTAGCCTCAAGCCTGAAAAAAAATTGCCTGGGGAAAAAAAGGATTCTGAAATGGCCTTAGAGTATACTGTAGTGGTTTTGAACTGAAACTAGCAATAGATCATAACGTCTGTCTTTCACAAACAGGCACCCATTTAAATACAGGTTTCAACTATAACTGTTGAAATTTGAAGCTTATACTTTTCTCATTTGACTCATTGCCAGTGTCTGGACAAAAAAAAAAAACCAAAAAAAACCAAAAACCAGACTTGTACTTTGTTTCCATTATACACTAGAAAGTATTTAGCATTGTTATTGTAAGGTTACTTTAGGTCACATTCTCATTTTAATAGAATAAAAAAATAAAAAAAAGGGAAAGGAAGAGGAGTTCAGGGACAACCACAGATAACTATCTTTGTATAAGTTCTATTCTTCAGTCAAGGAGAAATGTTCCCCTTTTTAGGTATGTATGCTTTAATGCTTTTTCTCATTGAACTTATATTAATCTAAAAGAGGCTTTTCTGCTTCTTTTTTTTTGAAGTTTGCCTTAAGCATGCAGTCACTGATCTTACTTCAGAATGCACATAGATGTAATATGAAGTACAGATGTAGCGCTAATGAAATCAGAGAGTAACTGAAGGAGTTTGCTACCTGAAGGAAATATGTTCTCATTTTCAAGATCGTAGTTATGATGTGACATACACATACGTACCGTAAACAGGGTAATGCAGGCCCACTGCATTAGTAAAGAAGGTAAGAAGCAGTTCTGGGTAGGAAAATGGCAGACTCAACTATCAACCAAGCCTGGATTGCCACCTCAAGCTTGACAGGATAGAGTACGGTAAGCTGATTTAAAAGCAGAAAAATATTACTCTATCTTCAAAATTAGAGGGAAAAAAATAACAGAATGGAGCTACAACCAGGCAATACTTTAAAAATATTTTTGAGAATAATCTCTTGAAATAAACCTGTTTATCTACAATAATATAGCATTGTGTTTTGTGAAGAATAAACCAACTACAAGTGGTTGCAAGAATATGAAAGATGTGTATTAATGCCCACTATTTTTTCAGTTGTTACAGACCGCCATGTACAGTCCGAACGAAACGCTGTGATGCTGGATTTTATTTTAGTGAAGAAGTGTGCCGCTGTGTACCCACATATTGGAAAAGACCACTTATGAATTAGTGAAGAAAGCTACTTGCTATTTTGGTGTACATTTTTTCCATTAGAACGAAAGAACAACAGAAACTTTGCAAATACTTGGAATGTAATGTTCACCAGAGACCCTGTGGGGCTTTCACAGACAAACACATCATGCTTTTCTCAAGATGTGGAAAGCAAATGTAGAAAATAACTGGGGTTCATGTTTTATAAAGAACTCAGTAAGGACTTATTTTCTGCCAATGACCAAACAGCCTAGGTTCTACTTCTTGTGATTTTTTTTAAAGAGATAATGACTATATAATTTATTTCCACTAAAACCATTGTGCAGCATTTGTTTATAGCAGTAACAATTGTTAAAGCTCACTGTGATCAATATTTTTATATCATGCAAAGTATGTTTAAAATAAAATGGAAATTGTATTATACAATGAGAATGTTTGATCCATCTGCCTATGGCAGGGAACTACAACTCAGCTACATTACCAGAGCCCTAAAAAAGGAGAAAAAGAGGTTAAGAGAAAGCACTTCTATAAGAGGAAAAAAACTTCAGATGTTTCCTTGGAGCTGTTGTATATAGCATTTGAAATACAAAGAGTTAATATTTCATAATCCAGTGATACTTCTGTCTTTGGAGTAAAATCAGCAAAGCAAGTACAGTTAGTAACTAATGAAAACATTGCAGATCTTGCATGTACCTTGTGCAACTATAAGGTCCACAGCAACTAGTTGTGTTCCAAAATGTACATTCTTTAACTTCTTGTTGTCCTGGTTTTATCAGTATTCCATATCATGACATCATGCAGCTAGCTGTTCGGTGCTGGAACGCTACGATTCCTGGGTCTTGTGCTCCTATCAGTCTCAACTACTCTCACGTAAGTTCTGGCCTTCTAAGAGGAAGATACTCTGAGAAGAGACAGACTACGCTTCCCAGACTACAGTTTTCCAGTACTCACGTGATTTCCAGTTCTGGGTGATGGGGCAGAGCGCTCTTCCCTTCCAGAAGACCAGCTGTGAGTATCTGCCTATAAAGATTTGGACTCTCTCTCTCTCTCTCTCTGTAATAATTTTGAACATTGCTCTGTAGACATGAGCCAGGCCCCAAATAATTTGTTCCTCCTTAGCTTTGCTGAGCCTGCAACCATGTTGTCTTAAAGCTGCCTTAAACTTCAGGGTTCTGTAGGTGTTCAGGAGTGAAAATTTAACACACCCTGGGTGTCCTAAGGTCTCTTCCAGGTCCATCCACATTCCCTGCCATTCAGTGTTCTCTGGATTTTGGGGAGGCTTCCTCCAGATGCTGTAAATACAAATACTGAGTAAAATGATGTGAAATGATTCAGGGAGTTTTACAGCATGATTATCGACCAAAAATTTCAAAAACGTGTAAAGGAGTTGAAGGAGAAAGTGGAAGCTTGGTTAAAAGTCACACATTCTATAAAATAATTATTAACTCCCTCTGGGGCATAACTTCAGGTATTAAAATCATACCACATTCTATATAGGCACCAGATATGTGTTTCCACCAAGTGATTCTAATTTTTTATACATGCTAACAGCCATAAAGAACAGAGTGACAAACTTAAAAAAGAACCAGAACAGTCTAAGTGCTAAAATCTGGAATGATAGAATGTAATCCCTTAGCAAGTTGTATTAAAAGGGATAAAGTTAGTCTCTTTTTTTCTTTTCAGCTAATAAGAACAGGTTGGCATCTATTGAAAGTTATTACTATGAAAGTTAAAATGCCATCGTGCTTTCTATATTACAGGTTGTAATCTACTAAAATAATTGAGAATGCCTTGATGTAGTTTTATTCTATCATAGAGTCAGTCAGATATCCTAGTCAAAAATCTGTGTGTACAAAAATAATTTGAAGGAAAACAGCACATTTTACACTCCACTGGGGACATGAAAGGGCTTCAACCAGTCCAGTATGGATCAACATCTTGTCTACCCAAAAAGTTGTCAGGACTTCTCTTCATTAAAAGCAAGTGCAAAATCAAGCATCTACAAATCTGGAAAAAAGGTAAGACTTTTAACTTGCATGGTAATAGCAATACACATAGAAAAGTCCACTCAAAATTGAAATGTTTCAGAAACTGGAAGGGATTTGTTAAATTACACAAAATTTATTGTGTGTAGAAATCAAGCAAAGCAAGATTTTTGTAGCAGTGGGAAGATCTACTAAGATATATTTAGGCGTTGTTATTTTCAAGTGCTGGTTCTATGCAACAGCTCTTTTCTTATTTTAATAAGATGGTAACTAGTACTTCCACTTATTTCCTAGAATATTGAAGTTTACTTCTCTGGATAATTGCACACTCAGATAACACAGCTCTTTAAATTGTTTTAAATAAAAGACCAGCTATTTATTATTTAAACAGCATGAAGTTTAGGCATACAATACTGAGGCATATCTTTATTACTGTATTGCCTCAGCAATTAAATACAGGTTGAACTCCAGCTGGCAACTTTATGATAGTACAACCAGACTCAACTTCCCTTCAGTCAGATTGTTACTCATGCAAATCAGCAGTGATTATATTGGCTATGACAGTCTAATAGCAAGAGACCAGTAGTCAAAACTTCATCCAGTGTTACTAACGATCAAGACATCTACTTCTGTCTCAGCAGCTTAAAAAAAAGCAAAAGAATACCGTAAGAAATCAGTTCAAAAACAAGTGTTATGAAGATTTAAGTGAACAAACTGCAGGTGAAGCTCCCGGTGTAAGCTTCCTAATTTCTACTGATGTCCAACATAAAAGAGAGGAAAGAATGCAAATCTGAAACCAGGAACAAAAGCCAAGTAATCCAGTATCTAACAAGTTAGATAATACATACTTGTGGTTAAAAAGGAGGAGAACACAAGCAACAGCAGAGCAAAACTGCATTCCATCAAGTATGTAGATTATAAAAACTGAATGTTATAATACTGTAATAAAAAACAAAAAACCAACAACCAACCACCAAACAGAACAATGCTCACTTTAAATAATTTGAAATGCATTCAGTAAAACAAAAGAGCTAATTAAAATCATTCTATTTCAGCAAATATTTCTACTGAAGAAGATATTCTAAAGCTACGCTCCAAAATGAAAGTTACTTTCTTGACTGCATTTTTAAAAAATTTGTAACCTGGAGGACTTTTGAACATTAATGGTGTAAATCACTAAGAAAGACTAAGATATGAAGAAAGCAAAGACCTGGCTTTTGAAATATGTTACAAATCAGATTTCTGTTTGAGCAGTGGACTGGTCAGGAATTCTTAAAGATATACAGATATCTTTAAGCAGAATAAGACATGAATGCAATTGATGGCATTTTGGGGTAATCATCAAACATCTAGAAAAGCTGATAGATTTACAGCATTTTCAGCTTCAATTTAGTTCTTAATTTTCTACTCATTCAATATATAAAAAAAATTAGAAGTTGTACCCTAAAAATATGAGTGATAATGCAAAATAAATTGTATAGATGATTAACTCCGCAATAAAAACATTATATTGCCATTTGTGTAAAAACCATCTACCGTCTAGAAAAAATACAGGAAAAAGAAAAAATACTGCAGTCAATCATGTTTAATAGTAAACAGGTTTATGCTTACCCTGCATCAGGAATTTACAGCAGTTCCTGTATTCTTTCAATTCAATGATATTATATAGAGACCATAAAAAGCAGCACCTCTCTGCCTTTATTAACGGAAGGACATACAATTTACAACATGAACATTGTTAGTGCCCTGCTGTGTTTGTTTAATTCATCTTAAACACGCTGATGTTAAATCAATTCTCTTAGATCCATTTGCAGGACCAGTATGAAATCTTGCATGCCTACTGAATCATTTTGAAAGGCTTAGCATTAGCATTGCTTTTAATATTTTCATTTTTCAGTCTTCAAATCCCAGTGATAACTCCAGGTGCCTTTGAATTTTAATGAATTTTGACATCATTTTCTGTAATTTTTTTAAGGTTGGAAAAGACCTTTGAGATTGTCTAGTCCAACCATCCAGACACCACCAAAATTACCCACTAAACCACATCCCTCAGTAAAACATCTACACATTACTTAAAGAACCTGCAGGAATGTTGAATCTACCACCTCCCTGGGCAGCCTGTTCCAATGCATTACCACACTCTTGGAGAAATTTTTCCTAATATCCAACCTGAATATCCCCTGGTGATGCTTGAGACTATTACTTCTCATCCTATCTCTGTTACCTGATGAGAAGAGATGAACCCCCAATTCACCATAACCTTCTTTCAGGTGGTAGTAGTATTAGAGGGGAATGTCTTTCCCCTAACCCTCCTCCAGATTGAATAATCCCAGTTCCCTCAGCTGCTCCTCAGAAGACATGTCTTCCAAACAACATTTCACAGTTTCATTGCTCTTCTCTGGACATGCCCCAGGGCCTCAATTATTTTCCTGTAGTGAGGGGCCCAAAACTGTACTCAAGGTAAGAATAATGTATGTGGTCATAAGTAAGCTTACAAATAGATTAAATGAATATATTCTATTACTTAAAATTTCTTTAGCCTAACTTATTTGGAGGTATAGAACATTGTATTCAAATAGTTTCAAGGCAAATGAGTCAGAATTTTCAACTTTTTAATTCAATCAGTATAGTATCAGTGATAATTTATAACATCAGAGGATTACTACTTAATTGAAAAAAGCGAAAGTTCTATTTTATAATGTATTCCATAGATTACTTCTGTTCACTTCTCCAATTTCAGATAAAACTTGAAAACAAAAAAATATAGGACAACCTTTTGACTGAGTGATGAAGTAGACTAGGTATTTAACTTTTTTTTTTTTTTAAGGTAATAAATCTGAACAAAGGTCTAAGAAAATTAGGCCAGTTCAATACAGGCTAAACACTCCAGACTACTCTAGAGTCATTAAATAGTTCTAGATAGATGAAAACATTATACAGTATCTATACAGTGGCATATCTGGACTCATCTATATTTTCCATACAAATATTGTAATGGAATCTGTACAGTAACAAGCACCGAATTTACAATAGCATAGTTTCTAACATTTAAATAACTTATCATTATAAAAACGTACATTTTATCTATAGTCTGCAACTATGAATCAGGAAACCTTAAGGTTAGGAATGTGGTGCATCACAAAAAAAATATCACATTACAGAAAAAAATAATCTTCAAACACAATACTTTGCTGTTTTACATGAGCATTGCCAGTTGTTGGCAAACTCATCTGGAAATCTCTGCTTGTATGGTAATTGTATATTATAATTTATTCTCTATTCTACTAAGCAAAACATCATCATGAAAGTCACATTGTGTAGCTTCAGACATTTTTCCTGGTAAGGGGTCTGAAGCTGTTCATTATAGATATTGACCTTTCATCCCAATTTCAGTAAACTGTATCCATTCTTTACATTTGTATCAGGCAATTGTGGTCATTGAACTCTTCCCCTTTGCCCCCTTTCTCAACTTGAATTACTTCTCTTAGATTTCTGGACCATATCTCAGTCTCCCCATAAGAAAGGCTTAAAGGGAAGTTCTATTATTAACCTATCACAGTTAACTCCATCTCCTCCAAATTGCCTTTTATATCTTATCTCCCACCGAAAACATAATTGTTTTCCTGTATATTACTGTTAAGACCCCTTTCAAATAATCATTCAAACAAGGGGATGAAATGTTTCTGAATGTCTAGTGATACTTTTAGCTATACATACATGAAAGTAGCATTAAAAAGAAGTCTGAAAGTGAATGAATTGAAGCTTCAGCTTCAAAGGCTGTAAATGCCATCTAAGAGAGAAATAATAATAAAAATGATTACACAGTTGAGACCTTTCTAAAGCAAGCTTGCAAATAAAAACAATACAGACAGAAAACCCTAGCAAATCATACTCAAAACATAAAAGGAAATTTTCATCATAAATTTACAATACCTCTGTACCAAATACAGCTTATAGTTCTGCTGTAAGCCTTCTCCAATCTACCACTGCACTCATACAGTCCTCAGTGATGTCTAACACAGCAGTTTGGAACTACACTTAGCCTTGAAAATGAGTTGATGGTCACCTCTCATACATACTGCATGGAAACAAGTCAGGGCTCAGGAGCAAATAAGGTCATACCCCAAAAAAGCTTGAGATCTATGCTGAGATCAAATAGAAAGGAAAAAAACAAACAACCTAGAAGAAAATAAAATCTACTGACCCCTGAGAAGATCATCAAGAAGAGTTTAGCCAAAAGCAAATCAAAACCATTACATCTGCAGGAGACAGCTTGCCGCTGACATCACTGATTCTTTCCTCTGATTTAAATGGTATTATTCATTTTAATGGCATGACTGTGATCAGTCTTCACAGTAGCAAGGCCTGGTAAATGTCATCAAGCACTCCTATTCTTTACAAGTTGTTCCAGCAGCACTAAGTGTTCAAGGAGGGGAGAACTACACGCAATCATCAAGTCCATAATTTACTACAAAACCTTACAGAAAGTTTACCTTCAGTGCCTACCTCCTGATAAAATCCCAGCTGGCTGCAGGAAGCTGCCCCCATCCAAAAAAGAATTCACATCATGGTTCAGTTCTTGAGGAAAGGGGAATGGCTGCATCTGAAAAACAGCAGGGAGGACTATGAGAAAAATAATGCACTACAGCCCCAGAATAGTTCATTAAGAAAATACTTTCCTCTTCCCACAAGAGTGTGACAATCAGTAACTCAGAAAGCCTTAAAAAAAAAAAAAAAAAAAAAAAAAGTAAAACCAAAACAAACTTTCCCTCTACTTTGTGTAAATCAATGAATTCAGTGAACATTCACACGGAAGTAAATCTCAGATTAATGGGAAATGCTTCATAGGCAGAATTTAGGTACCAACATCCAAGTCAAACAAACAGATACTTAAGTTAAGAGTGCTCTCCAAAAAATAATTCCTGTATTTCGTATTCATACTTACTGTGTAAACAGAGTAAAAGGAACATGAAAACTCCTCTTAAAGTGTACAGTTAAACTGTTTTTCTACTATTTTGTCTAGTACCTGGTAAATTTCTGAAGGTGTACATTTAGATAAGGAATGTATTGTGTCACAGACTTACAGGGGTTAGAAGGAACCTCTGGAGATCATCAAGTTCAAGCCCCCACTACAGCAGGTTCCCCATGTTTATAGATGAAAGTATGGCATAATTATACATGTGTGTGTATATATATATATATATATATAAAAACAAAATTGAAATACGCACACATATGTATCCACATTTATATATGAATAAGCAAGGTCAACATGTATCAGAGATTTGAGTTTCAAAACAAAATGAAAATTGGAGAAAAACTACTGTTTTGAACTGCTTATTTTATTAGGCAATTTATGGATGAGCAAAGAAACAAGCCCTCTGTTTTTGAGATTATCCATTACCACAGCAATTCTCAAAAATTGAGTGTCTCCATTTTCCCATAATGCACTATCTCCTCCCAGTAATATTATGGAAGAATTCCAAGATGTGTTTATTTGCCTACTACTGTATAATCTGTAAGAGATCTATATATATGTTTAGTTTTTCTAAGAAAGTACATATTATGTAGTACTTCTGAAAAGTTAATTCCATGTCAAATATTAGGTTAAGTCTCTTTCAGTTTCTCTGTCCTTTAACCTGCTACACTTAATTTCACAGACAATCCTTGAGTAGCAATTAAAGTCCCACTCTTGGGTTTTTAGTCATTGGTAGTATCATTATATGCTCACACTACAGCCAGTGCTGCATCATACAATCTTATTTCATCTTCCCTGGTAATATGCTGACATAAGATGCTATGGAAGAATCATAGAATGGCTTGGGTTGGAACTGTGCTTAGTTTCGTCTCATAGTAGAGCCATATTGTCTCAAAATTTTACTCAATAATTCAGAATTTTAGATACTTACATTGCAAAACTGATACCTAACATCTCTGTTAATTACCTTCTTCGATAAGCAGATATGAAAATATCAACCTTCATGCAAATACATCATCTCCTACTTTGATTACTGAAGTACAGAGATCAAACTAAATTCTGTTCTCTTAATAATGATTTTCTAAGTTCATGCAAGTTGATGGGGAAAAAAAAAGCTCTGCTGAATGTACTTTTTCTAATTTCACTCTAAGTCTAGAATACTGGTTAAATTTTAGTTACAACCAAAGCTATGCCATTGGGCATAAAATTATCATGAAAATGGTTGAACTTTCTTGATTATAAAGGGAACAGATGCATTAGCAAGTTAAGTTACTTCAGTGCTTCTCAGCAAATAGCAGCCTATAAAAATATTTCTGAGCTCATTTATTCCCCAAGTATAAACTTGTACAGCAGTTGTTTATAGTGAATATATAATTCCAGCTATGTCTTTCTACACAGTGTAGTAAAACTGGTGAATGAAAACAGGAAACACGATTGCTTTGGATCAAAGCCGTTGAGCTTTTTTTCCTCTGGTAGGAAAATTATACGATGTTAGGCTCATTAGTTCATTAGCACAACATCTGCACAGTAGTCAGGTATCCACCTATTCCCAAGTGAATGACTGTGGCAACAGCTTTTCTCTCTCTCTCTCTCTTTTTTTTTTTTTAATTTGAGCAGTGGAAACCTGTATCTGAGTTTTTCAAACACAACAATAATGCATGAATCACATACCCAAAGCTGCATGCAGGTCACCATGTTTCACAAAATGCTGAGAGAAGGCAAAGCCTTCACAGTAAAAGCTGGAGGGGACAGCTGCTCTTTGAGTGCCTCCAAGCAACAGGTCCCAATATACATCAAGTCCATAGGGTAGCCCCTGCCTCAAGCAACCCATGCCACCACCTTCTGCCAGCATTACTCACTTGTACTATGAGTAGGAGAGCTTCCCCTAAAACCTAAGGCTCCCAAGAGACACATATGCATTCAGCACAAGCCAACTCCAACATAGATTAAAAATTTAATTTATTCTTACTTGAATCTGGACAGGTATTAGACTTCATTATTCCTTTTAACAGAAGTAACAGCACCTGGCAAAGAAAGTAGAGTCATTTTCTGCATGTAGAATGACCACTTGTATACTAAGTAATACTAATAATCCTATTAAGACTAAAAAAACAGTGTTAAACACTGTATGTTTGACACATAAAAAACACTGCAGCTTTTTCTTTATTATTGTTACAAAAAAATAATATGCACATTTTATGCTTAATTTTGGGTCATTTGAAATTATTTCCAGTTGTATTTTTAATAGCTTGTCTATGAATTATAATTACACGCCATTCACAATTACAAAACGTTTAACGCATTTAATACTTAAATAGTTTTACCCTCTATTTGGAATAGAGTTTTATTTAAAATAGTATATTGGATAAACTGTCTGGCCAACAGAGACAGATAATGAGCAATAACTTAATACAATGAAATTTGAATTTCTTTAAGCATTTTTTGAGTTTAGAAAATCTCTCATCCCCGGAGGTATTTAAGAGACCTAGGGATACAGCACTAAGGGTCATGGTTTAGTGATAAGACTTGGTAAAGCAGGTTGCTGCTTGGACTTCATAATCCTGAATTTCTTTTCCAAACCATATGATTCAGGCATGAACTGATTCAGGGTTAACTGGTCACTATTTAGACATATTTTCCCTTCAAAGTTTTTTTTGTTGGAAATTTTCATGCATATACATAAGGACTGTCCTTGTAAAAAGTTCTTAATCCAGTTACACTGTCCCATAAAAATTTTCAGTTACAACCTCCCCTATGACTCACTCTAACCTCATGAACTAAGAACATTTTGAGTCAATTCCATCATTGTTCGTATCTCCTGCTACACCTGAGAAGGCATTTGATCTCATACAATATGAAGCTGTTGCTATTGTTCTAAAAATGGCCTCTAATGCATTTTCTGTGTGAACCATTTCTGAAAATTATGATGGTTGAATTTGTGGTCAAGTCAGTCATTCTGAGAAAGATCGTAAAATCCCAAGAGACATGCAAAGAACAATCAATCCCTACATCAGGAAGCAAAAAGGAAGTGCCAACCCAGTGGAAATTTATTTATTACACGTTTGAAGTCTGCTGAAATAACAAAAAGTTGGACTTAACTGTCAAACGGGGCATATACAAAAGCAATGAATTAAATCTTATTTTCAGACAGGGAATGGTATTCATGTAGGTATTAAAAATGGATTTTTTTTTCAAATCACTCCTATAGAAGTTAAAAAAACAAAACAAAACAAAAACACAAATGTGATCATATGAATTACATTAGGCATCAGTGAGAAACTTTCCTTGAACTATATCCTTGCAGGAAATTGGCTAAATGTAGCCCCTTGGCGCCAAGGAGGTCATGAGCTCTGCGTCAGTGCTAATTCATTTTTTGTGACTACGTTGTGTTGGGAAATCCCAATTCCCAGTGCTGATGTGTAAAACAAGACATTAAACTCTACTGGGTTATGCACCTGATATGCCAAACATGAATGCAATTTAATTTCCCTAAATCTGTAAGGAGTGTACGAATATAGAACATATTCTGTATATCAGTAGGAATTTTATTTTCTAAAGTTCTGGATACCTTTTTTTTCCCCAAATGCATCCCTGAATACAGAAATCACAGCACGTGGCACTGGCATAGACATAGAACGAGGAAGAGCATGCCACAAGAAGCGGCTGAAGTCATAAAAGTCAATGTGTCTGTGAGGCACTGCAGATGAAGGGCTGTGCAGAGTCACACCTGAAATGGCATAACGGGCATATTCCTGAATCCACAGCCATCTACAGAGCAGCCTCCAGAACTGCCTTTTGCAGAATTTAGAAAAAGGTTGACTTAATCAGCAGGGCAGAGAGGTTTAATAGGTTAAATGCTCTTCCTGTTACTGAAATGGCTTGATAAAAAGTCAGTAGGCAACAGAGGAGCTCTTAAGATTAGGACATACATGAATCATCATCAGTAGGGAACACCAGTACATTAAAAACTCAACATATTTACTAGATATATTACTCGAGGTGGATAAAGTACATAAATGTACCTACCATGGCAACAGATACAACCTGATATTAGGGAAGAAGTTGACTGATAATTGCATATAGGAATTGATTTCCATTTCTCCCCTTTGTGTTTCCATACTGGCAGGAAGGTAACTGCCTCAGGATTGGCTCAGTTGGAACAGATTGAATAGTCCAACTCCTGCAGCCCAGAGCTTTCACTACAGCCAGTGCATTGTTTGTTTTGTGTTCTTTTTTCCTTTTTATTATTATTATTATTTTTTTTTAAGTGGAAACCAACTCACCCCCTTCTACTGAAATCTTGACAGCAATTATAGGATTTATGCAAACAACTTCCTACCCAAGTATAGCATCAGTGGAGTTGCAAGTTTTCTTTAAACTTTGTTCTTGGTCTATACTCATTCCCCATTTTCTTGGTCTCTTCCTGGTTTTATGCTCTGCCACCACATGTTAAAGGAAAATTTTACCACATCCCATTGACAGTGTTTTTATTTGTGATCTGTTCTTCAAATAATCCACATAAAAATAACACACATTATGGAGGTCTGAATTCCAAAGAGCAATTAGATTTAGAACAGATTTTAAAATAACAACTACGGTGTCGACACAGATCCCTTTTATAAAGGAAAGAGGCTAAATTATTACCCAGTAGAGTGGCTTTTAGTTATCAAGATGACACAGGACTTTTGTGGGAAAAGCTAAAGAGCCAATCAACCATACTGAATACACTTTAAATATGTATGAGCAAAGAAAGCATCTGAATTTACAGTTATGTGCTCTGGTCATTTTAAAATCCATATATTTCCTATTTAGTACTTCAGAACGAGTAATTTCATAGGTACTCATAGCATAGACAAGTGATTGATTTTCAGAGCTGGCAGTATCCAATACAAATTGCCCCAGGCAAGGCAAAGAAAAAAAAGTTAAAAAAAAAAAGTAAACAGTAGGGATCCCACTCCTTAGTTAAACGTTAAGAAAGATTTTGTTGGCCAGGCCCCTACACTCATTTCTCTGGACTGTCTGTGAATAGTAGCTACTGTCTCTTCAGAGAAAGAAAAAAAAAAAAAAGAAAAAAAAATCTAATAAAATTTGTCTTCAGTTGCTTGTGAAAAAGAAATTGTGGTTCAAAGCTCTTGGCTTTTTTCCACAATGCCACTTGAAATAGGTGAATTGTGCCTTTGGAAAGCAGATTTTCTCCAAGGTCACTGGAGAGCAGGAGTTTCTCACTGCAGTCAGGGCATTAACTTCCATTAATAACCAGTGTTTATAATGCATTCATAATGTAGCCTTTAATCCCTCTCCCAGACCTTATAATTAATTCCTTCTTTAAAAATGGTAGAACTGCACAATCCTATACTTGGAGGGCTGGAGGTCCATTTCCTGCCTTGTGAACAATTACATATATAGACAGGTTACAATAGTAGGTAAGCAGGCAACCATTTCTGTGATTTTGTAAAAATAATAGTAATAGTATGGGTTGGAAGGGACCACTGGAGATCTTCAGTCCAACCCTCCTCTGCTATACCCTACAGTAGGTTACACAGGAAAACATCCAAATGGGTCTTGAATATCTCCAGAGAAGAAGAATTCTCTCTGGGCAGCCTATTCCAATGCTCTGTCACCCTCACAGCAAAGTTATTCCTTATGTTTGCATGCAAATTCCTATGTACCAGTTTATATCTACTGCCCCTAGTTCTGTCACCAGGAACCATTCCATCACAAGAAGTTCATTCAGGAAGCTGGGTTTTGGTTTTGACCAGCTAGCATCACCACTTACAAATATTTTCACAGAATACATCTCATAATGAGACAAGGCAAGAATTTATGGGGCAAACTGCATATAGGAAGATCAACCCTCAGAATTCAAGTGATCAGGCAGAGAGAACCTACAGAGTCAACAGAAATAATGCACACCATGCCAGCACAAAACAAGCCATAAAACATTCCACTGCTCCACAGCAAGTGTTGAACATTCAATACAAAACACAATCTGCTATGACTACAGAACACAGAAATTGTATGTCAATAGCTTGAACAACATTTAGTTAGGGAAATTAGAAAATAACTATATGCATGATCAGAATTAGAAATTATCTTAAAGGTTAAGTTAGTTCAGAAAGATATATAATTTATAAACTTAAATTGTAGCTTACTCTTTCAACTTCTTCCTCATTAAATATTTGTTAAAATAATGTTAAATAAACTTATTTATTTTCTTAATACTTACTAGCAGATCTGAAATGTCAAAAGTCTTGAAAGCACTTACCCCCCTTTCCACCAACAATCTATTTGGAGCACTTCACATTCTGAGCTTTGTTTTCATCAATAAAAAGGTGATTTCTATTACTGCAGGTTTATAATGACTAAGCATCAAGTTTTGCAAACTTTTTGCACCATCATTTAAAACTAAACCAAAATACTGCTCTTGTTTTGGGACCAATGCAAATAGATCCTATTCTTTCCTTATTTATCTAAATCATCTTTTTGTTTGTTTGTATTTCCATACAAAGTCTGTTTCAGATCAACTTCTGGCAATTCTAACCTCTTCCTACTTCATCTGACCTACAAGATATGCCTCTCTTTCATGCTGTCTTACAGAGGGGAGGTTTGGGCAGAGAAGAGACAGCAAAGGGAAGAAATTTTTTCTTAGATCACCAGTCATCCAGATAAGCCTGGAGACCTTCCCTAACAGGGAATGATTGAGGATCTATTTATTTATTCGTTTATGCTGACTTCAAAAGGCACTAATTCTACATTGGAAAAAAAAAGAAATCATATTTTCTACATGTATTTTTATTGTTTGTTTTAGTATCTGGAAATATTAATACTAAAATATAGCTCTTCACAAATTCAGATATTTTGATCCCCCAGGCTTAGTCAAACATTTAATCTCTTTTAAGTAGTATATATACTTTGAAACCCAAGCAGAATGTCTCTTTCCAAGTTGATTAGTTTACTCAATGTCTGCCACATACGTATGTAGTAGGTCAGACAAAACGCACATTAGGTGTTGTCCCACATCCCA